CTTCGCGGGGTCTGCTGGGCTGTCTAGGGCAGTGCGTCGTCGATGCCTACGCGCGTGCCCTGCTTTTGACGTTGCTCGCGGTGATGAATGTGATCTTACGCGGAGAAGTACACAGAGACTAGTGCTAAACCTTATTCGCACGGGCAGGGTCTTTTGGGTACATCTTGGGGCTCCATGCTCCATGTGGTCCATCGCGCGCAGGAGCATCAATAACGTAGAGAGGGCTAGGCAACTAGAGTTGGCGGGGGTGGAACTGGCCATTTTCTCGGCGGAGGTCGCGAGGGAGTGCCAGCGTTGCAGAGTGTTCTGGTCTATAGAGAATCCCACGTCGTCAGGGTTGTGGGGGTTCCATCCGATATGCGAGCTCTGTGGGCTTCCTGGGGTTGAGAAAGTCATGCCCGATCAATGCCAGTACGCGGTGCCCCATGAGAAGCCCACTACGCTGCTCACCACTTGTGCTTGGGAGCCCGCTGTCCAGGTGTAACTGTCCAGCATCGGCATGTTCACTTGTCAGGTGCGTGTCGCAGTAGGCCGAGATGGACGGGCCAAGTGGGTTCGGCGCACGGCTGCAGCAGGGTCGTATCCGCCCGCCCTCTGCCGCGCTTGGGCCCGCGACATCTGGCGGGCTGCGCCAGCTGCTGCCAGCGGGGCCTCGGCGCGCTGGATCGCTGGCCGGGGGGCTGATCTCTGGGGCGCCGTCGCTCCCAGTGAGCGTCGACGACGGCGACGTGCTGCAGCGGCTACGCGGCGCACCTTCCCAGGTCAAGAGGACAGCGAGGGTTTCTCCATCGCGTCGAGGGCGGCCAAGGCGATCGACAGGCATGCCGTCCGTTTCGCCAGAGCTGGGCACGGCACTGACATGAAAGCGTGCTCGGCCCGATCGCACAGGCTCGGCGGGTGAACAGCGTCGCGCTGGAGGTGGCACGAGCCCCGGTTTCCTACGGCGTGGGGCCGCTGGTCCCAAGACGCCCGAGCACTTCCGCAAAGCCGTGACAGACTCCATCTCGCGGGCCAGGCGGCGCGGCTTTTCTTTGACGCCGCCAAAGGCCCTTGCACATACCATGCAGACATACTGTGAGTCCCTAGCACTGGCTGGCTATAGCTCTGCGTCTGGACGCTTTGCGGTCCGCGGCTGGGTGGAGCTCAATGCCGAGAACCGCTGGCAGGCGCTCGTCGATCTCGATCCCGTCATCGAGGCCTGAAGGGCCGACCGAAGCTGATGCGTGAGTTCGTTGTCAAGCCATGCCCTGAGGAGGTCATCTTCCTGGTCCTCCATTGGCTGGCGGAGCGCGACGGGCTCGAGGCAGCAGCTGCCAGTCTGCTGCAGTTTGACCTCTGCGCGAGGCCGTCGGAGATCCTTGATCTAATTCGGGAAGGTGGTATCGCCCCGTCAGCGCGGGCAGGAGCTGCATGCTGCAAAGACCATCGTTTTCGGTTCCACTGACCATGGCAAGCGCACCAAGACGGGCAATGTGGATGAGCGTGTAAATTGTGGCACGCGCAGTCGCGAGCGGGTGGTGCATATCTTGTCGACGCTGCGCCGCATTACTCCTGCCGAGACGCTGATCTTCCCCAACCTTATTATACATGTGTATGAAAAGGAGATCCAGCGTGGTGTGAGAGCGCTCGTGTTGTCGGCTCTGAAACATGCCCCACGCGCGTTGAGACACTCTGGCCCTGGCGACGACTTGCTTCAGGAGCGCCGTACGTTGGACATCATGCGTCGCATGGGTCTGTGGGAGGCTGCCAGGAGCGTTCAGAGATGCGAAAAACATGCGCGTCTGCTGTTTCCGTTGAAGGAGGCGCCAGAAGCTTTGATGCCACAACTCCCGTCCGCTCAAGGGTTCCTTCGTGCTGCACTGCGAAGCGGGTTGCCGCGGGGACTTCGGGCTTGAGAAGAAGTTCGTGATTCCGATTGCGTTCCCTTCGTCCCGCCCCAACTACCATCCTTTATTCGCGATTTTGGTGAGATTTTGGCATTGTCTGGCGTGGTCGAGGGCTTCCTTATCCACGTCGTGAGTCTTGTGATTATCGTGGCCACCCTTTGCCTCGCCAACGCATGTCTTCAAAATTTGACTGGGCCGCTGAACTGCAGGCTGCATGGTGGCCCGTCTTCGGAAACAGAGTGATCGATTGGCTTGTGCCTGTCGCCGACGGCATCTGGGGCTCGGATGGCAGCTCATTTCAGTTGAGGGGATTGTCGGGCTTGTCTCTCGGTGTCTCCGAAGATCAGAGGCCCTTGGAGGAGGGCCCTTGACTGCAGCCAGTTCTGGGCGGACCACTGGATGCGGGTATGGATTCTGGTTCTACGTGTCTTTATCATGCCGGTATGCTGCTCCGCCCGTCCTGCAACCGTGCGTGCTCAAAGTGCCCCATCCGCTTCGCCGCCGCCGCCTTCGCCGTCAACGAGAAGTTCGTCGGTGTTGTTTGACGGTATTGTCTGGCGTGTTCGAGGGCCTCCTTATCCACGTCGTCAGTCTTGTGATTCTCGTGGTCGCCCTCTGCCTCGCCAACGCATGTCTTCGAAGTTTGACTGGGTTGCTGAACTGCAGGCTGCAAGGCGGCCTGTCTTCGGACAAGGAGTGATCGATTTGCTTGCGCCTGTCGCAGACGGCATCTGGGGCTCCGATGGCAGCGCATCCCAGTTGAGGGGATCATCGGGCTTGTCTCTCGGTGCCTCCGAAGATCAGAGGCCCTTGGAGGAGGGCCCTTGACTGCGGCCAGTTCCGGGCGGAGCGCTGGAGATGGGTATGCATATATATATATATATAGGTAGATAGATACCTATACGACCACCCTTCGGGTGATGAGGAGGTTCGGGGGGTGTCAGTGGAGCGTGTCTTCCACGGATCTTCAGCCTTTCACTTCGAGAAATCCTCACAAGCTCTAGGATATGATCCTCAGGGTTGTGTAGGTAGGCTGAGATGTTGAGCTCGCAGAGCTTGAAATACAGCAGAAACGGTGGGCTCGTAGAGCTTGGATATACTGTCCAAAGTGAGAGCACAACGTTGACGATGAGAGAAACTTGTTTTCTATCTCGCGTGGTCCCCCTGAGCTTCGGACCGATAAGTCAAAATCGCCAAATGGGGCCTCTTGGCCCGGCTATAAGCCGGACGGCTACGGACAGGAAAACAGAGCACGACGTGCGGGTGGTTGCACATGGGTTCGAGAGCTCCGAGGACCCGAACAGGACGGACACGGGGTCGGGAGCTCCGGTCACACAGAACCCTAGAAATCTATCTGAGATTCACATGCCCCGAACCATCTGCACGGCCGGCTGTTTTAAATATTAAAGTTATTTCGCGCTCAGGGGGGGTGAGAAAGAACTGCTGTACACACAGAATATTCCCCTTAGGTGGCGTAGGCTACTGCACGGAGGTAGCATCATGTCTCATCACGCTCACCGCTTCCGGGAGACGAAAGTCTTGGGGAATATCTGCCTCCTCCTCGATCTCCAAATCCTCCGGGTACAACTGCCAGGCATCGTCGTCAACTGCGAAATATGTGGCCTGGTCTAGTGTCTGCAGTCCTCGTTGTCTTCTCTGCTTCTCGGAAACAAAATTAACGTCGTATATCAACTTCCAGGTGCCTCGCTGCTGCCAAAGGTTGTAGCTGGCGCGAGCCTTCTCCGAGTTCTTGGTCATACAATCGCTCAGCTGCGCACCGCTGTGACACCACCTTAGGGATGTGGATGTGGCGGCCATGCCGCGCTTGAGGGCCAGGGCCTCCAGCGCGCTCCTCTTGTCTTTCATGCCGAGGGCGCTGCTCTCGGACCGATCCAGAGCATCGAACACGCCGCGGCAGTCCAGGACCAGGGCGCCAGGAATCTTCGCACAGCTTGAAGTCCACTGCTTAAGAGGCGCGGGTCCCAGCAGGATCTCGCTCAGCAGCAGCCTACAAAACTCCAGCTCCTCTTGAGCTTCACTAGCGGCTTGTACCTCGGCCGCGCTCGAGCTCCGACACACTCTCGGCAACTTCGCAGATGCCCAAGCCAGCAGAGAGATCGGCGCCTCTCGGTTCTGCATCAAGGTATAGTCAGTCAGAAAGATCAAGAAACCACCCTGTGAAGAACCATCACGTCGAACATTCCAGGCTGCGTCCGAATAGCCGACCACACACGGATTCGCGTGCTTCTCCATGGTGAGCTCTTTGGTCGCCTCGAACTTGGTGCGCCTGATGAGCTTGTTGGCCTGCAGGAGAGTATTCACCGTTGCGGAATTACTGTAAGCCAGCAGCAGTGACAGCTCTGCCCCGATGAGGGGCACGCCCTGCGTAGCTAACCACATGAGCTGACCGAAGGCGGCTCGTAGACGGGTAGCTTCTGACGATGTCACCGGCTGCTCAGGATCACGACGTCGATGTGCGGGAATATCTATCTCCATGAGCTCCTGGGCGTAGTCAATCATGTTAAGATGGATACGGCCCCATGACTTCGTGCGTCCATCATATTCTTGTCGAATTCGCGTCCCGCACTGAACAAAATCTTGAGTCTCCCAGCTTCCCCACTCATAGGCTCGATGGAGCTGCTGGAGGGCGTCCACTGCAAAGTCCGAGTGCTGGTCAATCGCGATCATGAAGTCGTCCACGTGGGCTACGGCCAGACCTATGAGCTGTCCTCCAGGTTCTCGTAGACACCACAGGCAAGGTTCTGTCGTAGACTCCACCCAGCCGAGCTTGGCCATGTCCCTGCGAACTCCCGTCCACCATCTGCGAGGAGCGTTCACCAGATCATAAACTGCCTTCTTGAGCTTGACGCATTGGTGATGCTCGAGTCGCATGGCTTCCCTAAGTTCCTTGACTGGTTCGGCCAGGACATTTCGATCTTCTTCTCCGAGATCGCCTTGTAGGAAAGCTGCCTTGACGTCACCCTTGAAGACCTGAAAGCCCATCGAGGCGGAGACGCCCAGGAAAGCCTGGCGAGCTCGACGACTGCATGTGGGGGAAGCGGTCTTGATTCGCCCAAGTCCCGGATCGGTAAAGCCAAGAACCACCAAACGAGCCTTAAGGTCGCCAGTCTCCTTCCTTGTAATGACCCATCTCATCTTCATCAGGGCTCCAGGGTGTACTCCTGAACGACTGGCTGCCTCGCAAACTCGATACTTGAGGAAAGACTTGATCTCGTTACCCTTCGCGATCGGGAGCTTCTCACGGTCCTCTGCCGTAAGGTTCTTGAGCTTCACCTCGACCTTGTTCTGCTTGACCATCGCGGCGAGGGCCTTGTCAGGCCTCCGGCTGAGTTGATCCACATCCGACTCCTCCAGCGCGAAGCCGATCATGATCGCGAGGTTCGGCTCGTCCTCGCCCGCGAAGCCCACCAGGTCGGAAGCCTTCGTCTTCTGATCATACTCCCAGGGTGAAACCCAATTCGCACGGCCCTCGGATTCGGGCTCGGCACGACCGAGCTCGGGCATGACAAGCGTCGGCGCCTTCTGGCACAGATGGCCCAAGTACCCTGCAAAGTCGGCGCGATGTCTCTTGGGATCTGGGTCTTCAGAAGGTTCCTTACTGGCTTCCCGCTTGTTGTAACCTTCTGGTGGTGGCTCGCTCTCGTCGATCTGGTCTCTGGTCGGCGTCGGTGCTGGTTCAGCTGGATTCTGCGCGGGCATAGGAGGCGGTGAGGCCTCAGGCGCGGCCCCTTCGTGGCCACTCGAGCCCGACCCCGCTTCGCCTTCGTGATCATCAGGTTGATGAAATGCCGTGCTTCTTGGAGTTGTCATCCTGGGTGGGTCTGGTACTTCAACGTTCTCTCCTTCTGGAATATCGTCCCATTCTCCCGGACCAGGCTGATCCACCACATCGGCGTAAGCACCCTTCGTCAACTCCTGAAGAATCTTCTTGAAGTAGTCGGAGCTCCCTGCGGAGATGCTCTCCAGGGTCCGCTCCGCTTTCGTAGTCGTGCGGAGGTGAGCGGCCGCTGCTCGTACGAGACGGTCACCGTCAAGAAGCCAGACAACTCCTCGACGCACCGCAACTCCATTATTCATCTCGCGCTCCTGCATCAAGACAGTGGCGGGACCGTGAAATCGACCAGCGATACCTGGCCGAGTCTTGTGACTGTTACCCTTCGCACCTCGCCAGTAGTGTGCCTTCTCACCAGGCTCCCATGTCTTGAACGGCCTCGTCTTGGCCAGCAGAGCACGCTTCGTCTTCTCCGACAGGTAGTGGTCCACGCACGCCTTGTAAGCAGCCGCCTTGATGCGCGTGACCTCCTGGAAGTGTTTGTCCACCACATTTGCGCTCAGGACCGAAGGATTCTCCACTTGCTCCAGGCCCTGCCCCGACGGGGTGCGACCCATCATGAGCATCATCGGGCTGTAGCCTTGGTGTCGCATCAGGTCGTTGTTGGCCACGCAAGCCCAGCGAAAGATGTCCGCGGGATCTGTGTCGTCTGGTAGCTCCCAGGCGAGGCGAGTGGCGATTTCCTTGACGGTCTCGATGCACCTTTCGATCACTCCCATTCGCCAGTGAGCTTCTCCGGGCTCCGGTCTCCACTCCATGCCGTTACCCGAGACCCAGGCGCGCTGCTCGACCTGCTTGAAGCAACCCTCGGGATCTGTCCTGAAAACCTCCGGCTTGCCGTAGTGGTGGATCCAGTCCTTCAGCACTACCTCCTTCATCTCCTTCGCGGTGGTGTTGCCACAATGCTCCTCGACACCCTTCTGACAGTGAATCGACGTCTGGGTAAAGCGGCTGCCATAGTCTGCACAGAGGGTCCCACGAACTTGGCAGGCTCGTCGAGGATGTGTCCAATAGAAATTGTCGCAACCCATCTCGGTGCCAGGAGCGGGTAATGTTGGTTCTGAGCTGGCAATAGGTCGCATCTGAAACCTTTGAGCTGCCTTACAGGCCGGACACTCGTAGTGGCTGCAAAGGTCGATGAGCTTCTGGTCCGCCTTGCGAGACTTGAGGGCGGCGCTGACCGTGCTCATACTGCAGTGTCCGAAATTCCGATGGATGTGTGCGATGATGGCCTCCAGCTCGCGCAACTCTGCCTTGGTACAGTTCTGGACACTCCTTGGCAGTGGCAGTCTGAGATTGCCCACCGACTGCTCTTGACCTCCCGACTCGGGCGTCGGCGGGGGCGCCTCGCTTTCTGGAGGGACTTGAGCATCTCCAGTTTCGTCAGGATCAGGAGCTGGTACTTGACCGCCTGCGCTTTCTCCTTGACTCTCGGGAGCTGTGGGCTCCAGCGTTGGGCGCTTCGGCGGCGGCGGTGGTGGCCCTTCAGAGGCGGGCCGCTTCTCCCGCAAGCGCCTGTAGCCCGCTGCGCACAGCTCGTCGTCCAGCTCGTTGTGGGCCTGCACCAGATAGGCGAGGGCCTCGTCCGAGGTGGCCCTGGTCATGAAGTGCTGGGCGATCCTCCGGCACATGTTCACGGGATAATTCGCTGACAGTGCCACCCTCGTGCCGCCTTCCAGCGGCATATGCAGATGCAAGTCAGGGCAGGTCCTCCCAACCTTCTTCTCAAACTGCGGGTCAGTGGTCGCGATGTGCCAGTCCTTGCGTATGAGGAGACCGCTCTGCTCGTCTCTCATATCGTACATGCACCCGTGAATCCTGCAGCCATGCATGGACTTTTTGAGCTCCTTGAAGTTGCCTGTCCAAGACCTGCAGCGTCCCGACTGCTCGAGGTATATGTCACAGAAACCCTCGTTCAGCAGCTGACCGATAGCCCATTTGACGTTCCTCTGGATACGTCTGGTCTTGATCAGCTTCTTCTCCGACTCCGCCGTTACGGGGTTCAGATTCTGCCATGGGCACTCTGCTCCGCACGGTGGGGAAAACCAAACTCTTCGAGGCCTCTTGACCCGCAAAGCCTTCACGAGCTTCTCTGCACCAGACCTGGTGGAGAAGTCATACCCGTTCCAGTTGCTGAATCTCTCGGCCTTGCCTCCTTGCTCGATCATCGCGTGCGTGAGCCTGGAGTCGGACACACAGGCCACTTCTGCGAGGTCCAGCCTGCCACAGGTCTCGGCTGCCTCCCAGGCGGTGCCCGGCATCTCTCCCAGAGCCGCCGTCGCCGCGATCAGCGCTCCGAGTACACAGCTCTTCACACGAGATGAAAGTCTCCGGCTGGCCTCGGCAGTCCCGACGGTGTCGGCAGATCCTCCGGCCTCGGCATTCCCGACGGTGTCGGCAGATCCTCCGGCACGGGAATCGACTCGGCCTTGGGCATCTGGCTGACGCCCAGCCTCTTGCTCGGCCTGGCCCTGTCGTCCGCCTCCGTCGGGTCCGTCGGCGTGTCGATGAGGCCCTTCTGGAGGATCTCCTTCGCGAGGCGCTGCTGCTCCTCCTGGCGGATCTTGATCCTCTCGCTCTCGATGATCTGCTGCGCCTCCGTGTCCGTGAGCTTCCGAATGACCTCGGCCGACAGGCGCTCGGGCAACTTCTTGGTGGCCCCTGGAGGGCTCGGTGGAGGCATTGACGTTGGCGCCGTTGTCGTCGTCGTGGCCTCGCTGTCCGAGGAGCTCGACTGGTTCATCATGGGCGCCGCGGGCTGGGCCGTACCCGTGGTCTCCAGGCGGTTGATATACTGCCGGGAGCGAACACACTGGAGGAGCATCTGGTCGCTCGTCTTCGCGAAGTGGTACTTGAACAGGAGCTCCCCGCAGTTCCTGCACTTGATCTGGTCCACAAAATGGTTGGACCCCTGACGTGTCTGGTCCCGATGGGCGCATCTCGACATCAGCCTGTGACGCGCTCTCGAACTGAGACCTGCTTCGTTGAACTTCTTGAGCCGAAACGGTTCTTGAACACAAGGATCGTGGGTAGATAGTAAGACCGACCCATCTCGAATGTTCGACTTGTCGAGCTGTTTTATTCGATAGTCTCTCGATGATCATCATGTGTTCCCCGTCTTCTCGAATCATGTGAGTGTGGCGTTTCCCCGATAAGCTGGCTAAACTAAGAGCTTCAAAATCTCGAAGATCACATCTTTGAAAACGAACCCGACGATGAACCCGAACTAGAGCGTGTGAGCAGTCGACCCATATATCCCGACTAACTCTCGCACCTTCTTTCCAGTCAGCCCGTTCCCAGAGATACCCAAGAATAGGTTGTAGCATAGACTGGCTTAGCTCGGGGTAGGGGCCCATGATGGAGACACTGACCTCGAGCAACTTCTGGAGCATCTGGGGGAGCTCATTGGCGTCTTTGGGGCCCCTGGTGGCGACAGACTTGGACGACGATTTTTCCACAGTCCCTTTGCCGCGACCAGGGTGCTGTCCCTATTCGCTGCTTGCGCCCGAGGCCTCGTTGCCCAGAGCAGTAAGGTTCAGTGCCGAGTGACCTGACGGGAGCACTCTAGTGGGGATCTCACGCTTGAACCGATGAGAGTACACGGTGTTGTGGAGTAATCGATCACGAGCCCGTACTTCTTCAGCATATCGATTCCAAGCAGCACCGGAGACTTACGATCCAGCACGTAGATGCTCACAGCCTCGTCGTTCAGGACCTTCACGTTAAAGGTCACCCGTGAGGGTGCGTCTGCCCGGTCGCCTCCAGCAAATGAGAATCCCAGACTCTTGTCCGGGCTGACCTCCATGGGCTCGCTCAGGCGCTCGTTCACGTACTCCAGCTGCTCCACGCCTCCGACTGATCTGGACGCTCCACCGTCCAGGAGCGCGTAGCCCTTGCAGTCGTCCATGCTGAAGGCCACGAACTCGTCCAGCTCCTCCTCGTCGCAGTCCTTGGACTCGCCCTCGTCGTTGACCGTGCCGACGAACACGTCCTGGACGTCCTCGAACTCGACCTTCTTGCTGTAGCCGTCGGCCGCGCCGACGAAGCTGTTGAAAGCCCGGCGCCTCTCCCCTTGGGCGCCGCCGTTGCCCCGATTGGGGCAGTCCCTTGCCTTGTGGCCTGGCTCGCCGCAGAGCAGGCAAGCCCCCTTGAACTTCTCGTTGGTCCCTGAGTTCGAGTCCTTCGGAGGTGCTGCTGGACGCTTCTGACTCTGACCGCGACCCTTGCCACGGCCTGCCACGCCGCCTCGATCCTTGCCCTTGCCCTTGCGAGGCGGTCCGCCCCGACTCACTGCACGTCCGCGTCCAGCTCCAGCGGCGGGTTGAGTCGGGAGCGCGTCGTAGGCGCCCAGACCTACCACCGGAAAGTAGCCCCTGGCGTTCTTGACCTCGTTGATCAGCTTCCTCGCTTCCACGAACGTCCTCGAAGCCGCGAAGGCCGTCTCCGTCCACTCGTCCGTCTCGTGAGTCGAGGCCGCCGCTGCCAGCACATCCTCTCCTTGCTCCTCGTCTCCTCTAGGCTCTTCACCGAGCGCGGCGGTCATCAGGTCTTCGGCTGCCGTCATCGCTGACTCCGTGATGTCTGCCGCCTCCTCGAACCCGTCGATGTACGCCTCGTCGTAGACCTCCTCGGCGTAGGCGGCGAGCTCGTCGGCGTCGTCGAAGACCGCGTGAGCGCCCTTCCTGGCCTTGTATCCCTTCTGCTTGTCCCGCGATGCCAGCTGCTCCTCCGACCACTGCTCAGCTAGCGCCTTCTTCACGTCCTGGTAGAGGTATGAGTTGCCCTTGGGGCCGCTGGTCGCCAGCACCGCGGCCTGCTCTGACGGGTCCAAGCCCGCCCCGTCCAGCAGGATCAACCCTAGGATGAACTCGTGCATGAACCCTTGGGCCGGAATCTCGTCACAGACTGCGTGGAGGGCTTTACCGATCTTGCTCAAGTGGATGTCAAAGCGAGAAACCCATCTCTTTGGACCTTCACCCGGATGCCGATACACTCCACGCATGAACTCTCGCCACTTTGACACAGCTTCCTGCATCGTGACCGTGCCTCTAACTCCTTTGAGCGCCTCCACGACCTTTTCCGCTCCGTCCTCCTTGACGAGGTCGTCGAGCGAAACCTTCTTTGCCTCAAACCACTGCTGCGAATCCTCGTCCATCGCCTGAACCAAGCGCGGGCCGAGGTAGATCCTGTCATCCTTCTTTGTGCCCAGGACCCACAACTTCACCTTTTCCTCGAAACTCTCTAAAGTGGAGGCCTCACCATTCCACACAGGAATCTTGATTCCGGACTGCTGCTCGTTCGCCATCTTGATTTGGAGATCGACCTCGAAGTGGGCTGCCACTTCGTCGCGCTACCAATGTCAGTGGAGCGTGTCTTCCACGGATCTTCAGCCTTTCACTTCGAGAAATCCTCACAAGCTCTAGGATCTGATCCTCAGGGTTGTGTAGGTAGGCGGAGATGTTGAGCTCGCAGAGCTTGAAATACAGCAGAAACGGTGGGCTCGTAGAGCTTGGATATACTGTCCAAAGTGAGAGCACAACGTTGACGATGAGAGAAACTTGTTTTCTATCTCGCGTGGTCCCCCTGAGCTTCGGACCGATAAGTCAAAATCGCCAAAAGGGGCCTCTTGGCCCGGCTATAAGCCGGACGGCTACGGACAGGAAAACAGAGCACGTGCGGGTGGTTGCACATGGGTTCGAGAGCTCCGAGGACCCGAACAGGACGGACACGGGGTCGGGAGCTCCGGTCACACAGAACCCTAGAAATCTATCTGAGATTCACAGGGGGGGGGGGGGCAAAGTCTCAATCGATCGGTCTCACAATCGATCTCACTATCGATGTCAAGCGGTCTCGCTCGATCGATCTCACCCGATCGAACTCACAATCGGTCGCACTCGATCTATTTCTTTCGATCAATCTCACAATCGACCTCACGATCGATCTCACTATCGATCTCACAACCGATCTCGCATTCGGTCCCACTATCGATCTCACTATCGATCTCACTATCGATCCCACAATTAACGTCACCATCCTCATCATCACCATCTTCGTCATCAACGTCGTCATAATCATCATCGGGGTACCATCACCATCATCCTCATCACCACCTCATCACCATTATCAGCAACATCATCATCGGGACACCATCATCGTTGCCACCATCGTCATCATTATCATCACCGGGACACCATCATCATCATCGTCAACATTTGAATACCATCATCATCATCTCATCATCATCATCATGCACAACATCATTAAAATCATTATCAACGGGACACCATCATCATCAGCAACATCATCCGCAACATCAGCATCATCATCACCACCAGAACACCATCATCATCTTCACCATTACCATCGTCATCATCTCCATCGGGACGCCATCATCACCACCAACGTCAGCATCATTATCATCATCGGACAGCCATCATCAAAATATTCATCATCACCTTATCATCATCCTCATCATCAACATCATCATCATCGGGACACCATCATCGTCATCATCATCAACATCATTATCATTGAGACACCATGACCATCATCACCACCATCATCGTCATCAACAGCATTATCATCAACCTCATCATCACCATCATCATTGGGACACCATCACCATCATCCTCATCATCATCATCAGCATCATTTTCATCTCATCGTCTCATCATCGTCAACATCATCATGATCACCAACATCATCATCATCATCATCATCATCCTGACATCATCATCAACAACATCATCAACATCATCATC